GAGATTATGTGGGGGAGGCACTGACGGTGCCACAGTGGTGGCATTTGTCAGCTTTCTTCTTCCGCTTGGTCTCCAGATTGACGTCTTGGTTCTTGCTCCTGTTCTGTTGCAGGATGAAGGTCTGCAGATAAAAAGGTCAGACACTTGCTGCTGCTGCCGTTTGTTCACAGCGTCTAACGTCTCCTCTGAGGGACATCACTTCATCACAAACATGAGCACAACACTCCTCCAGGCCTCATCGCTATCACGTCTGTGTGTGTGCGTGGAGGTGGCTGCTGTGATGTGGTGGTCATGTGACAGAGAACATGTCTCTGACTTCACGACTCGTTTGTTTCAGACAAACTTTGGTTCAACACGGATGAGGTTGAGATCAGAGCAGTCCAGTCAGGAGTACAGAAATATATGAAATAAAATACAAAAAACAGAAGTATATCAGCAGAACACTGACAGGTGGCGCTAATGATGAAATACACTGACTCTCCTGGTGCTGTCTGTCTGTCTGTCTGTTGTACATGTGTAATTCCTCTCCTCTGTCTCTAATCCCTCACAGACCCTGGCCATTAACCGCGGGGAGAGTCTGAAGGTTCTGACAGTGAAGGTGAACATTTTGGACAGAGTGAAGAGCGACTTCTGTCATTGGTGCATCAACAACAGGTCAGATACTCAGTCATGTTCAAAGACCTGTCTATGTAGACCTGTCGGCCTTGGTTTCCTCATTCTCGGTTTTTCGGTTTTCATATCGCTATTATGTATGTGCCATATTCCATTGGAAGCACCAATGCTCTGCTGTAGTTCAACCTGTACTTTGGATCATGTGACAAATTAATGATTGAGTCTTGGACCTTCTCCTCCTCCTCCTCTGTGACGGTGCAGGTGGAGGCTAAAAACCTTCGTCAGACCAGATCTTCACACTCTGATGACGAACGCTGTGGAAGACTCTTTCAAAAGGCTGGTTTTACCGTTTCTCGTCCGCAGCTACAGGTGATTTTTTTTTTTTAAATGTTGTGTATTTGACCGTAGCTCTGCATTCTCTCTAACCCACCCACCATGAAGTGAACATCTACTTCCTGCTCTGCTGTCTGACTCCTGACTCCTACTTCCTGTCATTTCTTTACCATTTCTATGGCTGTCTGTTCAGGACCAAGCTGACGGTGGCAGCAGAGAAAGAATCCATCGTCATGTTTGTGAGGAACCTGCGGCAGCGGCTGTTGGCGTGTCCAGTCAGAGGTTGTACCATCATGGGGGTGGACCCGGGTTTTAGACACGGCTGTAAACTGGCTGTCCTCTCCCCCACCAGTAAGTTATCTGACTGATACCCCACACACATTTATTCATGTTTAAACACATCACAGGTACACGGTATTATGATATAAGTCGAGTCCTTACTGGGAAATAATAAAGTGAAGTGGGAATACAGAAGATGGTATATGGGGGGGGGGCTGTGTGGGCTATAACCCAGCACCAACAAACACACGCACACACACACACTCTGACTCAGTTTCACTTCCACCTTTGTCTGATTTGCTCTCAGGTCAGATTCTTCACACCGACGTTGTTTATCCACATAATTCAAGCAAGTACAAGGAAGCAGACAAACTGCGCCACCTCATGATCAAATTCAGGTACTGTCTTTGGTGACATCGACACTTAAAAAAATAAACCAGTGAACTACAGGAAGTGAACTGAGCAGTAAAGTTCTTCTTCTTCTTCTCCTCCTCCTCTCTACTCCTCCTCCTCCTCCTCCAGCTGTACCAAGGTGGTCATCGGTAATGGAACGGCGTGTCGAGAGACCGAGTCTTTCTTCGCTGACCTCATCTCCAAGAGGTTTTTTTACCCTCTGGATGTCTCGTATTGGTAGGTTCTGACCAAATGTATGTTCATATCTCCACTTCTCCGCTTCCCTTTTCTTTCTCTTCTTTTTTCACTGCCACTGTGAGTTGGGCCTCGTCATAAAATAATTAAAAGTCATTCGTGTTTGTTATAAACGGGAGGGTGAGTGGGGTGAGGAGGTTAGGAGTGTGAAAGGTGAAGACTGAAGGGGAAAAATGTGGAGCCGAGGAACCGTTGGGAGACGAACTGATTAGGACCTGTCCCTCAACCGAGGACTATCTATGAAACCCATCTGGACTGTGGTCCCAGTGGAGGTTGGTGGTTGAAGTTGTGTCTGCTCGGAGGCTGCGTCTACCTCCAGATGTAGAACCAGGCTCCAAACATAACAACCACAGGCTGCTCCTCGGCGCTCCTGCTCCTCCTCTCTCTGCTGAGTTCCATGTGTGTTTGTTGACCTGACGTTAGCAGTGGGACCACAGCCTAGAACCTCAGCCTAGAACCACAGCCCAGAACCACTCTCAGCTTCACTTCAAAGTGCCTGTTTTCCAGTAGTTCTTGTCTTTCAGTATTTTGGTTCAGTGTTGGTTTGATCTTAACTTTTCAAAAAAGGTTCATTCAGTCAAAGTGAGCACTCTTCTTCACTGACCTCCTTTGAAATCTTTTTTTTTTTTAAACACCACGTCACTAAGTCTAGTCTATAATATACAGTGGAACCTCGAGATACGAGCTTTTTTCGATTTGTATTTTCTCTTTAACGGGACCGCTCATATTTGACGACAATTTCATTTTATTTCCGTGGTCATCGTGCGTTTCTTCTTCTCACTACCATCCTTACCACTCACCTTCTTAGGACTCATCACTATTATGAAGAATAATGCACAAAAAATGGAGAAAAAAAATCACGTAGATACTGCAAACACTATACGGAAGACTCGCGGGAGATGCGTACCCAAGTCGACGAACACGTAAAGTTATCGTGTGAGGCAGCATGGGCTCGGCCACCTAGCGTCGGCGTCTGTAAGCGTGCTCGTATCCCAACGCAAAAAACATTTTTTTCGAAGGCTTGCGCGTATCTCGCGACGCTTGTATCTCGAGGTTTACTGTAGTCTCCTCCCACTGACCCACAGATGACCCTGACCTTCCATCAAACACAGCTCATTAGAGCCTGCTGAGGATGACTGCACTGCTAGAGCAGGACTCATCAGAACAGCAGGCCGTCTCAGCTCCTGCTGTGATTGGCCCAAATATCATGGACTGACCCAGTTCTTCTCATCCTCTTTGGGTCTTTTTAGAACTTCTGTATGTTCTGGGCCCTGTACAGGCGTCCTGTAGAACGGTGTTATTCACGCTCTGGTTCAGTCTGGTGGTCTCCTCAGTGGTTGGTGACCCTCCACACTTTGCCAGATTGAACCTGGGGAGGAAGTTCTCCAGACCGACCGGTTGATTGGCGAGGCCTGACCTGCTTCTGCAGAACCTCTCACACGGCGAGGCCTCCTCCTCTGACCTGCTTCTGCAGAACCTCTCACACCATGAGGTTTCCTCTAACTGACAAGAGTTTTTCTTTGCCTACGATGCCCCCCCACTGAAAACACTTGAGGATATCTGTTGTGCTGCTGTGTCCCAGTGTAACATGAAGACCTCCCACTGAACGTCAGACCCTCACAAGGGGTTCAAACGTCAACCCTCATGTCTGCTGGAAACGCCTAATTATTATGTACTTTATAACCGTCTGCCCTGTAGGTGGCACCGTTCTGCCCTAGGTAACTGTAACTGTGTGTGTGTGTGTGTTTGTCTCTCTCTTGTGTTCATAGTTAAACATATCAGTCCAAGTCCTGGTGAAGTGTGACCTTGTCTGTCATTATACTGAGAACATGCTGGCGAAAAGCAAATAAGTGAGCTCAGCATGAACACGCCCGTGTGTGTGTGTATGTGGGGGGGGCGGGGTTGAGAGGTGAAAGGGGGGAGTTAGAAGTAGAACATACATATGCACGACCTGTTAAACAGATTTTTAAGGCAGTATTTATTTAACTCTGATGCTTTGATCTCTGGACTGTGTTGTTGTCGAGGCGAACAGACGGATGTTCTGGATCTTCTAACCCTCCTCAGTCCTCCAGGACGAGCCGCAACCGTTGCTGCTCACACACGTTCTGACTTCAGGCTGTTTAACACTGTTTACCCTGAGTGTGTAAAGACCCCAGTGTGTGTGTGTGTGTGTGTGTGTTCATAGTTAAACATATCAAAAAATCATACTGCTGCTTTGTTTCTTCCTGCCCGGAGACAGAGGGTTGATCAGTTCAGTGATGACAGAGGGTAAGAACATGTGGGGCAGGAAGGTTGGTGAGGTCTGTGGGCAACAGTGATGATCCACACAGAGGGGTGTGTGGTGTGTGAGGGGCTGAAGGCCACTCTGATGTCCCTCTGATGTCCTCAGTGACTCCTGGAGGCGGTGAGAAGACCCAGCCTGTCACTCTTCCGTCAGCGCCCCAAGTGTTCTGCCTCAAGTAGAAAAGTTACGTTAATCCTGAGTAATTCAACTGTGTGTCCCAACTTGAAGAAAGGTGTGTTTTTCTGTGAAAGTGTCGTCATTCTCTCCTCCATGATTTTGATCTTGGGTGAGGTCAAGAGGTCAGTGATGTCATGGCAGAAGGAGTCTCACTCACACTCCCAGCAGCTCAGATCCACCAGACCAGATCAGTCCAAGTCCTTGAACGTCTTGCCCTCCAGTCCAGTCCTGTAGAGATGAGATCATTATTACTGATGGACCTGGAGGACAGTGGTGTGGACTGTATTCATGACGGTGTGTGTTAGTCCAGGCTGGCTGCCGGGGTCGGCCTCAGTGACTAATGGACATGGAGTGGCTGAGATCCAGGCAGTCTGGACTCACACTACATCTGAAGGTTGAAGAGGAGGAGGTGCAGACAGACAGACGGAGGGGTGTACGGGGGGTGGGGGGGTCATCACAGGCCAGGACTCAGGAGTCTTTATTGTCAGTGAACAGTCACGGGATCAACAATGATCTGAACTGTGTAAAATCCAACTGAAATGGTATGTGAAATTGTTCTCTTCAATAACAGAAGAGAAAAAAAGGCACATTTCTTTCCAGAAACACTGCACGTCACCACTGATCTGCTCTGATTAAACGTCAAATGCTGTGGTCTTATTGACCTGGTTAACTGTCAATATATGAAACAACAGAAGAAGAGGGAAAATCAGAACTGGAAAGAGTTCCTTTCTTTACAGGAACTCTGGAGAACACTGTTGGTGTCTGTGGAACAAGTTCTTCCCACGTTCTGTTTCAACACCTGAACGTCACTCAGCCTACGTAGGGACCTGATGTCTGGGTTTAATAGTGGGTCACAACCAACGTTTTTAGGAGCATGCTGCCACCTACTGTACTGGAGTGTGTAGTGTCACGGTATGACCAGTGACAGAGCCTAACACCTTGATGCGCAATTCATTTTTTTTTAAATTTCAGCAATGATGCAGCGTTACATCTTTGTTGAAATATGAATAATACTAATATCAGACAGGAGACAGAGAGGTAGAGGTTCAACACGACGAGAGAGAGAGAGAGAGAGAGAGACCTGTCCAGAGACAGGTTCACTGTGCAGAGGATCGATGAGATGAGAAGGTTGACCAGTGGGACTTTGTTAGTACCAGATGGTGGTCTCTGCAGCTCCAGACTGACAGGAGTGTCTGTGAGGTTGTCCTCTTTTCAGACGTGCTCCACACTGGCAGCTGAATGGTTCTGTTGGTGTGTATGTGTGTGTGTAGGCAGGCCTGCTGACGTTTTTCCCTTCTAGCGCCTGACTAGAGACTGACAGACCCTGACACCTGCCATTTGGTCACTTTTCTCTGTGAAAAATGTCATTACTGCAGACCAGGCATATGTGTGTGTGTGTGTGTGAGAGAAAGGCAGCGTTGGTGTGTTTACTGCCTGAGGTCATAGCTTTGCAGCTGACTGAACACTGAGCCCAGCTGTGTGAGCGACAGTAGAAGAACCTGGGTTTGATCTGCTGCTCTGTTGATGAGGGACGTTCATCATCATCATCATCATCATCGTCTCCGTGCTCTGCTGAACGTTGAAACTTCCCCTTCAACAAAGTCCTGATGTTCAATAGTGAAGAGTATTTATTAGGGATTCACTGACTGTTCGGCCACTGACAATTTTCAGTAATAGAATGACTTCATGTTTCGGCCGAAACAAAACGGCCGAAACATGAAGTAATGATGATGCACGCATAAACAGCGGCCAGCACGGGCTTGTCTGAAAGTACCAACCTGTCTCTGAGGCGTGGACGTATTTTAACACATCTGAGAAAGACCCACGGATAGAGATTTTCAAATGTGTAATGCTGACATTTTAAAAAGTTTAAGAGATCAAAGAATTCCTCCACCTCAGGTTTAATTTATCACCTGGAATGGAATGGATTTTCGGTTTTCGGCCAAGAATTTAAATTTCTGTGCATACCTAGTTATTATTATTATTACTTATCCACATGTCGCCACACCCGTACTTTCACCTGAACAAGACCTCAGGAGTCACTGTTTCTCTCACATTAATTTTTTAATTAATTAAAACATGACCTCTGTGACCGCCAAATTATTGGTTTGTGTTTTTAGATAATTGTGTCACAACAACTGTTTTTCTTTTTTGGTCAACTTGTCATTAACTGTCATCAAAGGTCTGGTTCAACCGCCGCAGTGATAATTAAACTATTAACTTAGTCACCACACAACTGGTGTGTGTGTGTGTAAGTGTGTAAGCAGTCCAACACCTGTTCAGGTCCTTGTGGCTCTGCAGATTTAGTGACAGCTCAGAGACTCCACCCTTTGACCTTTGACCTTTTGAACCAAACCTCAGTCTAACTCTTCCTGTTTTTTCATTTAATGATTGGCAGTAGCATTATTAGCAGCTGCGTGTTCGTCTCCTCTTTACTCCTCCTTTTCCTCAGTGTCAGAGAAGTCGATGATATTATTGTTGAAACTCTTTCCTCTGTCTAATTGGATTAGTCCTTTTTTATCTAAACCCCGTGTGTGTGTGTGTGGTTCTCACGATGATTGATCAAAGTGTGTATCCATCTCCTGCAGTGTTCTGATTCCTGAGTCCAGTCATGATGTGTTTGTCTTGAGACCAGCTGACAGGAGGCAGAAACAGGCGTCACTGATGACTTTGCCCCGGGGCAGGACTGTAATGACAGGCCGGGCCTGAGAGTTACAGCCAAGACAGTGGACAAAACAAAACTTAATGGGCCACAGTGTTTAACAAACCGACCTCTGAGTCCGACTGTCTCCATATGTTGATTTTTTTCCCCCAGTCTCTCAGAGCTGTTTGTCTGTGACACTGTTACCCAGCTGCCCCAGCAGCAGCAGCAGCCTTGGTCATGATGCACGTGAGAGGAGCTCTCAGTGTGTTTGGTAGATTTTATTCAGAGGGGGAATGTGTGTGTGTGTGTGTGTCAGATTAATGATCAGCTTTTCTGTGACCTTGAAGGTCATGTGCCAGTGCTTGTACAGCGTGTCACTGTAGTGATTTATCAACTGTCAGTTTGACGACTGATAAAAAGAACAGTGATGGAGGAAGGGTGGACTGGACGAAGAGGAGGAGGAGGAGGAGGAGAGGAGAGTTCATTAGATGTGATCCTCCTCAGAAGGCCTCTGCCACACTTCATTACTGTGATGGTCATTATTGGCAAGGTTGTTCTGAGGAGGTCCTGGCCTGCAGACCAGTCACACACACATTTACACACACACTGATTTTCTATTATACTGGTCACATACCCCCAGCTCCCCTTCACCACCACCCCACC